CCAAACGGAATAAAGATAACATGCTTTTGAATAAGCGAAACATCACACAGGAAACAATGACCTCCCTGTATTTAGAAAAGTTAATTCCGACAATCATCCTGTCATTGACATGCGCGTCCTCCTTTTTAAACATGCTCCTCGAAATAAAACTTCCGGAGAAACAAAACAGTGTAGGATAATATTTTAAACTAGGAATTTTATATAATCGGGGATTAAATGAAAAATTCTCTTAAACCCAACTTCTTATTACTGACGTGTTAATATAATTATTTATGTACACATCTTTACTATCTGTAGTTGCTATTTATTACTCTCTTATATAAATAATTTACTTGCCTATTACACACACACACACACACATACATAGATAGATATATCTTCAAGTTTATAGAACGTGATGATGATTAGTTTACGTGATATTATATCGTTATTTACGTCAATGAGTGTTTTTTTAATTTTGTTGATTTTTGCCCTGTAGTTGTTTTACAAAACAATCATTGCCTGAGGAAGTCAACAGTCTGAAATGTCGCTCGAAATTAAATACAAACAACTAAGACATTGTTTCACTACCTTTTCGATTGCATGTATGCGTGAATTTCATTATAACATCGTGTGGACATACAAATTATATCTAATGTCAATCTTTTTGTGTTCGCACTGTACCAAAGGCACAAACAGTAGGAATTACACGTGTACTCCAAATGAAGCACTGTCAGCAACTCATAATATATCACGCACAATGACAAGAATGAAACAAGGCTCAGACACCATTGTTTTTGAGTCACGTTGTAATTTTTGTTACGCAGGGATGTTATGGCCTAAAACACATAAAAACTAGGTTGCTGCCGTAGTGGCCTATATAGAATAAAGTACTCACAACCTATTTAGATTGGGCTTAACCATAATTCCGTTCTAAAAAAGTTGTGATCTTTGTAAGGTTTCATATCGATCAGTCAGTCAGTCTACGCGTACTTGTCCACAATCTTGATAATTACAACAAGGCGCGGGCGGGCCAGTTATATACAGAGCAGCGTGCTCCACCACACGGGGTCAAGAACCGCACGGAGAGCATCAACCAGCACAGCTCAGTCCATAAAAAGATCAGAAATTGAGGCAAGTTTGTCTACCGGGTTGAGGGACCCCATTTAACAGAAATACTACTCGAACAATGCTGTTGATTTCAATGTTCTCTTTCTTACGTGTTTAATCATTGCAACAAAATTCATCGCAACAATGGGATTTCTTTTAAATTAATTACTAAATAATTGTTCTTGAAGCTAAACGAGAGAAAAAAAAAAAAAACTGTTCGCAGTAAGCACATAAAATCGTGGCCGATAAGCTATCATCACCTCCAAACATTGGGTTTCTTCCGATAAAAAATGTACACAGTTATACTCTCATTTCATCATTTCGTAACCAGAACTGTAAATTCTAAAATAACTTGTGAAACAAGCTTAATACACATAAGTAAATTATCATTTATAGAAGAACACCCGCCGACACTATCATGTGATACTCGCTAAGACATCTCGAAAATAAAGATGAAATCTTTCTTTGCTGCGATAAATCGCACGACCAGTTTAGCTTGCTAAGTTTAAGTAAGCACTATAGCAGTGTCATTTTATTTTGAAGCTCCGACACAAACAATGTTTGTGTTAAAATGCTTACAAACACGGTGTAAAAAATCCACAACCAACTACTTAATTACACAGACTAGCGACTTTAAAATTCATTAAAGTTGGTTTGGTTTTCATAACGGATCTTCCATAATTCAACTACGTAGAATTCGAAAATAATATTAATTTTTTTTTCTATCACGTAAGGATTTTTTACAAATCTGGAAGAAAAAAAAATTCTTACTTCGATCAAATTATTATTTCGTTTATCACAATGAACTTTTTTTATTATTATTGTGTTTGTTAACAATAATACAAATAAACTGAAGAAAAGGGAAGAACATTGGTGTCAAACGAATATGCATCCTCATTCATCCCGACTTTTTTTTATGAAATCTACGTCTTTTAGTCTCAAAACTACGTGTTGTGGTCTTTCTTTCATGCATTGCGTTATGACGTTTTGGGAAAAATCTCTACGTGATGGAGAAAAATAGATATCATTTTCGGATTCAACGTACATGAATCACTGTAGAACGTGTGTAATTTCTCATTGTCTTAGAGGCACAATTACATCACGAATGAGTTCGGACATTGACAAAAACATTACCACTTACACAAACACAAGATTTATCAGGCCATTACTGGAGATGCTATTGACCAGAAGTGACAGTTATGCGTTGTGTGAAAAGTTTAATCTCTGTTACTAAACTGTACAGGAAGAGCAACGTTCTCTTGTCTGTAATTTGAATCAAATTAATTAAGATCACGTAACAAAGCTCACACGACTTTGGGAAATGTCAAGTCAAACGTTATAGTTTTTCACCGAACACAATGCTCCAGCTGTGAAAATTTGCTTTACATTCTTTCAAAGTAACGTGTTTGAGGCTGTTCGGGTTTCAACGAGATCCATATCACTTGTGATTTTTTTCTCTCTTTAATTTGAATTCCACAGTTTAATGCGAAATGAATCATGCCAGCTGGTCATAGTATGGGTTTCGCTTTACGTGAACGTGATATTGCAAACTACTTAACCGAAGGGTGAAAAACCCACCAACGAACTAGAAGAACTGGTTGAAATGATGGATATCATCAAATTATTCTTAGCAACTATGAGACAGGACTTAGCAATGAAGATTCTAATAGAGAGTGGGTGTATGAGTAAGTTACACAGAGTCAAATGCCAGTGTTATATTTCATCTTTACAAAGTGATAAAGATGCAGTCATAAGTGTATTTATAATTTGGGTTGTGTCTATATAACAGGTCCTAATCCAGGTTAATCCGCAGACGTGTGCAACAGGAAATCTGCATCAGTACGAAAAAAAGAAAGAAAAAAGTCAGGCTATTTCCCTTATTCAATACGACTACATGTGTCTTATATGAATATACAGCTAGAACGTGTTCCTTGTGTTTTTCTTATAGCCAAACCACATCGGGCTATCTGCTGTGTACACCGAGGGGAATCGAACCCCTGATTTTAGATGTCTAAATCCGAAGACTTACAGCTGTCCCTGCGGGAGACGCGTTCCGTCTCAAAGAGTTTATCTTATTTTGTTTTTACAGTTTGTTTGTTTTGAATTTCACGCAAAGCTACACGAGGGCTATCTGCGCTAGCCGTCCCTAATTTAGCAGTGTAAGACTAGAGGGAAGGCAGTTAGTCATCTCCACACACCGCCAACTCTTGTACCAACAAATAGTGAGATTGACCGTCAATTGACATTATAACACCCCCCCTGTCACTCTCATAACGTACCCACAGTTTAAAGTACGGGTAACATTTTATTGTAGCACACAGATTCGAATTGGCTCGTCAGCTCCGAAACACAGTCCATCAGCACCCTACCATCCACTAACGACGCTACGGGATCGACTGTTACTCTTATAACGTACCCACAGTTTAAAGTACGGGTAACATTTTATAGTAGCACACAGATTCGAAATGGCTCGTCAGCTCCGAAACACAGTCCATCAGCACCCTACCATCCACTAACGACGCTACGGGATCGACTGTCACTCTTGTAACGTACCCACAGTTTAAAGTACAGGTAACATTTTATAGTAGCACACAGATTCGAATTGGCTCGTCAGCTCCGAAACAGAGCTCCACAGCAAGGCAAACCCGCGCCCAAGTGGCCTTATAAGAATCTCAGAACACGACGCCTTTGCTACATACAGGTAATGATAAATGTGTAATTCACATAATAGGGCATAATAAATGAAAATCGTAATAAACTTTTATGTTTTGATGTTATAACTTGCGGTATTTGATATTTTCATTCTGAACGGCACTTTATGCGACATATGGATTAAACGGTTAGATCTGAGACCACTAGGTTCAAACATAACCACCCTTAATTTGGAACTAGTGGCTATTCCCATATGAATATCGGGACTGACTCTCATTTATGAAGCCCCCATAACTATAGCGTGGAACGCGTTCAGTCACATACTCTGACTCGAGCCTTGGGCTTTCTGACCCGCAGCCCGGAACGCTAAACCAGGGGCCATGTTCGGCTTTTCTGACTTTTCGTCAAAACATAATCACAGTAATAGGCATTCAGTGAACAGAAACTGAGTGACACGAATGATGATGGTTATATTACAATGTTTTTAGAAGCTTGTGTTGATGAAAGTCTACAGAATTACACGTTAGACAAAAAACAAATAAACATCCAGCATCAAGCACAATTAGTTATTCTTACATCCAAAAACGATAATTAATTAATTAATTCTATAATGAAAATATATATCACACGCTCGCATATCAGGAATGAAACAAGAATTGCGACTTAACTAAAGAGTTAGTCAGATATGAGAAGTGGATGAAATTCTACCGGTTCTCACCGGTACTGAGCACCGGAACTTATCTTTTAAGGCGGTACTAGTACCGGGACTTATTTGAGTTGCTTTGTCGTAAATCTATGTTTACACGTAGATTTTTTTTTTTCAAAAACAGGTCCACTTCACCCACTTGAATATCTCTACTTTTTTTTTTTTTGAGAATTTCACCCCTGGATACGAGACAAAAACAGAGAAACGTTAATGTATAAAAACAACAACATCATACTCGGTTTTTCCACAGACTCTTTTCGGGACAGAACAAGGTATTTGGTTTGCCATAATTTCCGTAACAACTGTTACTATACAAACCACGTGCGTTTGATACGTTAACTTCTTAGTCTAAACTACAATTACTCAACGTTACTGAAGAATAACAGATTGCATTAATTCTACCCATAAGCTAGACACTGGCACTTAATCAATATGGATGAAGCCAGATAGAATACAACATGAATCATTTTAAGTAAACCTGTCGAAAACTGTAATAGACAGTATACAAAAAATTCATTATTATATTAGTTGTGTTTAGGTTTTATATACAAACCTGAGTGTAACACCAACTCTCGGCCACAGGGGTGCTAGCTTCATTATTTGGAGGTGGGGAAGGGACAACTGACACGGCCATTCTAACTACACTATATACACGTTAAGGGGCGGTGGGTATTAGATTCCTCCTAAAAAGAAAAAAAAACGGAAAAAAAATGAAAACACGTGTCAAGATATAAGCAAACATATAGTAAGGTTTATTTCTAGGACTTAAGTAACACTGTGGAATGTAACAAACGAAATTACTGATGTAACAGTACGGATATGTATACATATTCTAAACAGTGCGAAGCGGAATGTAACATAAACAGACTTACTGGTGCAACAGTACGGATATGTATACGTATTCTAAACAATGCGAAGCGGAATGTAACATAAACAAACTTACTGGTGCAACAGTACGAATATGTACACGTATTCTAAACAATGCGAAGCGGAATGTAACATAAACAAACTTACTGGTGCAACAGTACGAATATGTACACGTATTCTAAACAATGCGAAGCGGAATGTAACATAAACAAACTTACTGGTGTAACAGTACGGGTATGTATACATATTCTGAACAGTGCGAAGCGGAATGTAACATAAACAGACTTACTGGTGCAACAGTACGGATATGTATATATTCTCTACACAATGTGAAACCACATTAAAGCGAAACTTAGGCTGCTAATTAATTTAACCAGTATTAATTAATATGTATATATACACACATAGAATAGTTAAGGAATACTTCCACGGTGTTCATGGTTTTCCACTATCACCAAACAATCATATGCAAATAAATTATGGTTTCTACATGTCCTCCTTCCAGCATACGTCAACAGTCCTTTTAACTACAGTCATATGTATGTGTACTTATACACACAGACACAAAGCTAACACCATGAGCGCCACCCCACACATGTCTATTCCTGAACAACATAATGTGCTTTATCATGACCTTAACTTTAGGATTCTTAGCTAAGACTAACCTAAACAGGATCCGACAGTGCCAATTATGGTTTCAAAATAAGGAGGTTCACACGTTTCAAGTTACTTAATGAAAAGTTAAGAAAATCCATTATCACTGGTCCCATTAGTACAGATACAACAACCGTGATTTATAATTTACCAGAACAAGAAACAAAAACAACACAATCTTTCCTTAAATTTTTATTAAAACATTATCGTCATACTTTTTTTTTGTGTGTCTGATCACTACTTTGTCAACTACTTATATAAACTTTAGAGTCCATAATAATTACAGACGCCAAAACAATACCTAATACCGATTTTGTTACTCAGTTCTTTACGAGCTTCGTAAGCGATTAACTATGACGACCTACCATCGAAAACGCTTATACACAATGACTTATGCAGCTATTTTGTTTTGTTTTTTTATAGCAAAGCCAGATTGGGCTACCTGCCGTGTCCACTGCGGGGAATCGAACCCCGGATTGAAGCGTTGTAACTCCGTAAACTTGCAGCTGTTACGTATTAATACAAAGGTAGCTGATTAAGAATCCATGTTTCTTTTTAATTTCGATGTTGCAAATAAAGAAACGAGATTACTTTCTCGCGAAAAAAAAAAGCGTAAAAATATTTGTTCTACACCAAATATGTATTTGAAATAGCCGGGCAAGATGTACCCGAATCTGAATGGAACTTGCTTAGATTTGAAAGTACTTTAAATAAACGTTTGTTCGTATCCTACACTTGTCATACAGTTATTAAACTATTGTGCGCTACATGTTATTCGTTCCTTTTATGTGATGGCCAGGTGGTTAGGGGGCGCTCGACTCGTAATCTGAGGGTCGCGGGTTCGAATCCCCGTCCCACCAAACATGCTCGCCCTTTCAGCCGTGGGGGGTGTTATAATGTGACGGTCAATCCCACTATTCATTGGTAAAAGAGTAGCCCAAGAATTGGCTGTGGGTAGTGATGACTAGCTGCCTCCGCTCTAGTCTTACATTGCTAAATTAGGGACGTCTAGCGCAGATAGCCCTCGTGTAGCTTTGCGTGAAATTCAAACCAAATCATTCTTCATCTAAATGAGCCTCACGGTGGCTCAGCGACAAGTCTGTAGATTTTAACACTATAAATCGGGTTTCTATACCTACGGTGAGAAAAGCACAGATGGCCCTCGTGTAGCTTTGTGCGAAATTCAAAACAAACAAACAATCCTTTTGTGCGCACGCTAAGTGTGTAGTAACAATAACATACGGGTACTGCATGGTTAAGTTTTCCAAGAACTTAATCCAATTCTGCAAATGTTTCATTATACAGCAAATAAATATGTAACTAGAGCGTAAGGTTACATTGACAGCAACACAAAGTACGACACGAGAAAATTGGTCAACTGTAAAACATTTTATAACCTTGTGAAAATAATCAATTTACAAGTAATTTAAGTACTTACAAGTGTTTTAATTGATATATAACATATAATATCTTTAAAAAAATTTTCAGCAACATTGGAAACTGGTACCATTCCAGGTGTCGCTACAATATGTAATATTGTAATAAGACATGTAATACCAGAATTAAATGGTAAGTTTTGTAACTAGTAGTCCTTGTACTTTCCAAAAAAGTTAATGATGTTGGAATGATACATCTGATTTAAACTTTTTATTTATTTATTTATTTATTTCAGTCTGAAAAAAATAAAATAAAATAGGGGGCGTTATCAAAAATAAATTTCTATAATCTTTCAAATTAAGTGTTAGTACCTGTTCATTTCTTCCCATACTTAATACAGGTTGTCTCTTTAATACTTGGATGTCATTTATGCTTATAAATACGTTAATGGAGGTACATAATACGCGAAAAGAGTTTCACTTCAGAGCTGCACGTAAAATTTGTTTCTTTCATTTATCTCAGCTAAACGGAGATAAGTGTTTATATGTTCGTTGTTTGTATTTTGTATTTATCGCAAAGCTTCTACCACCGTCCCTAATTTTGAACTACTGACAACCCGAAGAACCCTTCCACCCACGCTAGGAGATTCATGCGCCCACGAATGAGGGATATTTTGAGGAATTCGAACCCTGCTCGTCAGCTCCGAACTCCAGACCTCTACTACAGGGCCTATCGATAGTGGTATGCAATGAGTTGATGTGGTCCAACCCTGTGGTGATGTCTCTGAGGTCATTCGAGGTCATGTCCTTCGAAACTTTTACTAATATGCATCATACACCAAAAATGTCATTTGCAAAGATGTAGACAATAACAAATGAAATATTTTAATCCAAAAACCGGAAAGCGTTCAGGAAATTTTTCAGCACAGCATTAGGGGTGGATTTCTTTTATCTACTCATATGTCATTGTCCTCCGGTCACACTTCTATCTATCCATCCCCCAAAACGTCGCACCCACGGGTTCAAGCTGCTGTCGAAGGTGGTTCACCACGGAGCTTACAGGTAAATAATCAGCTCCGGTGAAAATTGGTTCCCCCCCCGTAAAGCAAGGGTGGTGACTATTATACTTAAACGTTTCTTATACCCTTTAATTTTACGTTTTCACAATCTCCATTGTTTCGTTTCACCCATAGCACAGCAGGTTGTTGTGCCATTTATTTCGAAATAGTATGCTGAATGAGAATAGACAACAACAACAGCACCACCAAGATAACTGGATGGAACTCCTACTATTATATATACTTGTTTTGTGCGTCTTTGGGATAATTTTACAGAGGCTTCGAAACTAAATTTGTTGTTCGTTCTATTCAACAGTTAATTTACTTGGACTTCTTTTAACAAGGTGACATATATATATATATTCTATGAAGGGCAACCCCCAAACTCTCAATTCCACACGCATACCGCGCACGATTATTCTACCCAATCACGTCGCAAGATAAAAACAGCAAGAGGTAATGAACGAGGCCATGGCAGGTGAAAGCACGAGAGCAGTCGCTTTTGACGGGGTCAACTTCCTCCAATCATGCGTTCCCGTCGTACATAGCTACACAATTTAGACCGATGAGGATTTTCTATACTCACCCAAAATAATATATTTGGAAATCTATAGCGTAATACGGCGCTATCAAGAATTTAATATTAACCGAGCAAGTATAGGACTAACGCAACCTGGGCATGAACTCTAACTACTAACTAACTCGACGCATTTGTATTACTTTGTCAGTGTATTTATATTATTTAATAAAAGCAATGAAATCCGTATCTAAACTGTGGATTCAACGATCTCCCCCACATAAATAAGTAAAGCTACCCTCCTAATAAAAGAAAGAGCTACAGCAACGGAGGGAAGAAGAAGAAGAAAAGATTATACCTTAGATTTCCTTTGCTATTATCACATATAAATATAGCTACAGTATTACTTTTGAAACAGGGTGGTTTGCTTTTGGAATGAGCTGCCTTCAAGGGTGGTGGAGGCAGAAAAGTGTGTTTGTTTGGAATTATGCACAAAGCTACACAATGGGCTATCTGTGCTCTGCCCACCACGAGTATCGAAACTCGTGGTTCTAGCGTTGTAAGTCCGCAGACATGCCGCTATGCCATTGGGGGGCTGGCAGAAAAGTTAACCGAGTTAAAAAAAAAATTG